TATATATAAAGTTATAAACTTATATAAAGCGTTTTCATGTAGTGTGGGTTTAAAGAAAAAATGTTCGGGCACTATACTTGTTTATGCTACGATAATTAAAAAAATTAAATGATCAAGCTTTTTGTAGTGGAAATTTTATAGTAAATTTAATCTCATTACACAGAGCAACTTTACATACAGAGGATTTTCTGAATGGAAGTTTTCCGAAATTTACTGTACCACCCATATTTATTTTTGCTATTAAAAAATTTGTAACGTCGCGACATAACATATGCAGTGGTTTTTACCAGCTCTGTTCAACCAGTTTTCCTAAAATAATTATTTAGTTATTAAACCTATTGATTGTAGCAAAGATAATGAGTACCTACTGTTACACAATCATACTAGCGTTTACAAAATGAATTTCAACTGTTTATAAAACTCATGAAAAAAGTTCTTGCTGCAGGACTTTCATAACGAGAGATCAGCGAGCATATTTTTTAACTGTTTCAATGTGGTCATCAATAATTTCTAACACATCGGATTTCATTAATTTGTTGGCATTTAGGAAGGTAGATTGTCGCGAAGTATTTTAACTTCCATGAATTAAAATGGCGCACCTGAAACTCGTTTATTATTTATTTATCATTTGTTTTACTTTTAGTTGTTGTAAGGAGGTGAATCTTGAAAACGCACTTAAGTCTAATTTAATTATTAGCCAATAAAAAAAAAATTTTTCAACAGTAAATTTTTTTTTATATACGTTAAATTTCGTTTTAATTATGCCTATTTAAACCGTGCAATGATATATATTTAACTCGAGCCCAATGATATATAAGTAATATATATCATTGCGCGGTTGTTTATAACTATATCTTATTTATAAATTTAAAGACCTATATAACTCTTATTAGTTATATTAAGTTTATAAATATAAAAATTTATAAAGTAATTTTAATTTATATAAGTTTTTAAACTTATATAAATTGAAATTACGTTAACTAAATCAAAAAAACTATTAAGATCTAAAAGTTTAATATACGTTTATTAACGTTTATAAATAACGTATAAAGCTAAACGCTTTATGCGTTATTTATAAACGTTAATATACGTTATTTAGACTAGATTTAAAACGTAAATTAGGCCAAATCTAAACGCTTTATATACATAAAATAATCCTATAATAGACGTCTAAAATACGTTTGAGTATAGACGTTTTATGAACATTTGTTCTTAACGTCAATCTCGAATTCATTCTAAACAGATAATCGACCAAATCTAAACGTTTTTTTGAAACGTTGTTTTGACCTTTAATAGACGTTTGTGTGTTTACTGGTATATAAATTTTTATGTCTTATGTACAAAAGTATATATACTATATTATAATATAATATAAGTTTATTAAACATAATAAACTTATATTATAAAAAGAAAATTTGTTAGAGAGGACTCTGCTCGGTGCTGGAATTATTTTAACTCTTGCAAAGACATTTAGACATTAGAATATTCCTCATGGAAATAGAAGAAAAAGAGCTAGTACTACCAATTTACAAACTTCATGTTATATACTTATTAAGTAAATTACATTGTAACTTTGAGCGATAAAAAACATGTTTTTTAGGAAATTTGTAGATTTAAAGACTTTGTAAAAGTTCTAGCTCTTTTAATCTTTAATAATGTCTAGATTAAGGACGTTTTTTAGTTTTATTTAAAACAATTTTAAGTGAACCAACTAAGAAAAATCCTATAGAAGTTCAAAAAAAGACTTTATAAAAGTCTAAAATTTTGTATAAACAAAAAAAGAAGCTTTGAAATTTTTTAATTGTAAATTTTCATTTATTTCATTTCATTAAAACCTAGGTTATAGATTGACAAATACGAGATATTTATAAAATATTTCAATTTAAGTTTTACTTAAGTTTTTTGATTAAGTTTTACTAACACGCCTTAACTGCGTTTAGTATTTCCCCAACAAAAAACATATTACTTTAAAGTTAAAACCTGTTTTGATTGAGTTAATCATTTTCTTTTGAATATGAGTGGTTTCTTAATTCAGTTCAAGATGATATATAGATTCTCGCAAGAACCACAATAAGAAATTCAATCAATAACTCATATTAAACTAAAATCCTCAAATATTCACATTAAAAAACCGTGTAAACACTTTAAAATAATTACTAATTAAACAATGTTAATCCCAAACCACAGAGTCATCACTAACTGTTACAGAGTTTTCCAGAACATAATTACATAGATTAATATAAACCTTGATAAATCTCTTTTTTTTTCATAGATTAATATAAATCACCTTTTTTTTTTCTTTTTACACTTGACACATACACAGGGTTCTTTTTTGCTCAAGTCCATAATTTTTCAGTTCTGCTATGAATTAAATTTAAAAACATTCCTAAATCAAACTTTTGCTAATCAAAACATATTTAAATTCATTTGTATTATTACTTGATAAATAATTGTATGATTTCTATTATAATCTCATAATAGTATTTTGTTATATAATTAT